CCCGCTTCGCCGGGCATGCCTGGTTCTGCAAGGAAGCGGCTTCTGCGTTCATTAGCTACTCCTATTGCGCCGTACCGATTGAATCGCATTAGATAGCGCAATACAGACACTCCTGAATTCGCGATTATATATGCAGGAGGGATGGTGGTCTAGGCTGTAACGCCCACACTATACACAGAGCTGGAGATATAGTCTGAAAGTACAGTTGGTCATACAGCTAAGGTGAACTGCTCAGTAGATAATCAATTGCCTTCCCTAGAACCCACTTGGAATTCCTTCAAAAAATGTTCTTGCGGAAAAAACCGCAGAATTTCCCGGGATCTTGAACTCTCGACGGAAAATCGTTGTTTGGGAAACTGGAAATATTTCGGAGAAAATGGTAGGAACTTGGAAAAAGGAAAGTGGTAGGTGGCATGAGGAGGGGGTGGGGTCGTATTATTTATTCTGTCGTATGACCACAACGCAGTGGCGTGTTCTGTTTGCAAGGTCCCGCGCTCAGAATTTCTCGACCTGCCTTGCCACCTTGCCACCTAACCTTGTCCTTTGAAACTAATTCATTAGGCGCAGTTCGCCGACGGGGGGTGTGTAGCAACAGAATCGTCCGGTGCAGCTGGTGGGCGTGGCCTGCGACATCCTTACGCCGAGAAGACGAAGCGTGCTTTTGGAGGTTTGAATAGGATTACTGAAGGGGATGTAAATATTTACATCACCTAGGACCGAGTCGTTGTGTTCAGTTACGGTTAAGTTTTGAGATGAAGTACGAAAAAGTTTAATAGAGCACGAAATTCATTGGGGGTCTTTAACATTTGCTGTGGTTTGTCATCTTTTCGGCAGCGCACAGAAAACTTTGCCATTCGTTTATTACATTGAGGCTGGCGACTGCGCAAATCATGTGAACCACATAAACATAGGGAGCACGGAATTATCTGATTTCTTTTGTATCTGTTTATTTCCTGGAGTTGCGTTTATGAAATCGCCAAACAAGTGTGTCTAACTACCAAGAAAAACATTAGATTTTCGCGCGGTCCAGAGCCGTGGCGGTTGACGATCTGATTGATCGCGAGATCCAGGGCGTAAGGGGATTTCCGTCGAATCCAAGCCTTTGCAAAAGGTGATTCCATGATTGACAAAGATGGCGTGGAAAGGTCCTTATTGAAGGTTGGAGGACGCGTTAAGGAAGTTCTAGGCACTTTAAGGACGGCTCCCCCACCCCAATAAAGATACTCTCTTTTTCTGGAGCTCCCACATTTGCTACTCTCTTCGCTTCCGACCGTGTTTCCTTTGCGGTGAGAATCCTCGCAGAAAGGGATTCCATCCAAGGCTCGGAGCCAAGGCATTGAAGACAGCTCCCGCGACAAAAGTCTCATGGATAGCTGCTTTCCAATTATGAAACAGCAGCTGCATAAGTAATCTCGCGGCAAAGAAGAAAAACAGGCAGAAGCGTTTTTCTCAAGCAGACAAACATAAACAAAAATCGCTCCGGTCACAGTTACACCTCCTTGGCGGTCTCTGTGGCAGGGCCCTAGCTCAGCAAGTCTGCTGCTCTATCACATCTCCCGCAGTGATATCATTCAGTGCAAAAGAAAGAATACAAAAAGAAAACAACAAAAACGCAGAGGAAAAACTCTGGGAAGGAAAAAGGAATTTTATCAACACGGTGTCTGAATTTGTGATTACGGTAGCGCACCTTTTGTGCGTCGTGGTTTTGCATCACGAAAATTGCGTCACTCGTGTTTTTTACGCGTTTCACCTCGCGCAAATGGGGATTTGAGATTGATGTATATACTCGCATGAGTAAACCGTAAGTGAAGGGAAGGCAGAATTACCAGGGGCATAGCAATGGCCCGCCGTCCCAACTAAGAACAAGTGAGTGGCCTCCGTCGGAGGACATCTAGCAAGTAAAGGCGGTCCGACTGAGGAGGAGTTAGAACTAGCACTTTGAGCGGCTATAGCAGCCTCCACGCTCACAATAGAGTCGCGAAAGGTGAACAGTCTTCTAGCTTGGAGGCTAGACTACTTGCACAGCAAAGGCGACCACGAGCCACTTTGATCGCGGGGCTGTCTTTAAGCATGCCTGGATAAAAGAATTTCAAGCGGGGGTACAGAGCAATGGTCGTTTGGCGATCCTGGATTGATACGGCGGATCTCAGGGCGAAAGAGGGTTTCCGTTGAGTCCGAGCCCTTGCAAAAGGTGATCATGTAATCATTGGTGAAACCTGCTAAATGTTGCGGATGTACGCTATAGCAAATCATTAGCTCTCAGGCTCCCGAAATGCTATCGGCTAAGCAAAATGCAGCAAATGTAGCTGCTGAGTCCATTGCCCGCCGCGCGCGACGCAGCACGCGCGTGCCGCGGGCGCTGCTTCGGACCGATAACTGGTTGGCAGTTGCACGGTCTCCCCCCCGACGGGGGGGGGGGGGGGGGTGGCATTTTGCACTTTCTTTGCTTCACTAGTTCTGGTTTACAAGTCTCACTCTGGTGAAACCTGTGGACTCTTGTGAAGCCTGGTTCATCAAAAGCCGTCAGTAGCGAAAACGTATTAAGCTCTACAGCGAGGCTGTCCTAGATGGGTTCAACACGTATCCGGATGGGAAGTCGTTCAATAATCGCAAGAAAATGCCGCCCGCCCCTCCCTTAGAATAAAATCAGTGCCACTTATTAATATGAACAGCGGGTCTAAGTTTTCATTACCCGGTACAAATTTTGGTTGCTTATGTTAGTGAAAATAGCGCGCGATCAGTGTGAATGGCTTGAAAACAGCATTGCAAATGTCAACTGCACAGTTACACTTTTTGTTCATTTATGGCAAGCTAGTGACTTTCAGTACTTTTACGATTCGGCAAGGGACTCTTGTTTCCCTTTCAAATACAGTGGATGTGGTGGGACCGGGAACAAGTTTGATTCACATGTTAATTGTATGCTGTCATGCATGCCAGGTGCCTTACAACGTTCGATTCGTTCTTTTCAAGGTACCATACGTTAGTGAAGATCAATACTTATTTACTGAGTTCAGCTGACAAGATTGACTGTGCCGGACAAGCGCCTGCTGTAGCAGCGTGTGACCAGTCAAGGAAGTGCCCCGCTGGAACGACTTGTTTGTTTGGTTATACGACGGGTAATATGCTGTGACGAAAAAATTGAAAGTGAGGAGCTCGACTTTTTTTCACTCTTTTATTACTTTTTTGCACGAGTAATAAATGAAGGGAAAGGATTGACCGGAACTCGTATGTGCTTCCAGATCAAGCCAACAACTTCGACTGTGGAGGCAAAACAGTAGTGGTGAGTCACAGTCACTGTAATAGTGTCTTTTCGAAGAAATTCGCTATGCTGCAGAAAGGCAAATACGATATATTATAGGGAAGTTTATTGTCTGACGAATAAGATGCATAAATGCAGGCGTTCGGCGACGGGGAGGGGGCATTTCGCACATCTACAGATTCGCTACTTCCGGTGTCATGTCTAACTCTGGTGGGACTTGTAAAGTCTTGTGGAGATGGAGCAAGCTCGTCTAGCCACCATGTGTCAAATCAAGAAAAGCTACATAGATTGGTCGACACACCTGTGGAAGCAAAAAGTCCCCCGGTTGCCAAACTGCCCGTACAAGTAGATTCTCGAAAACGTTATTTTATGGAATTTTGTAGACAGTTCTCGTAACAGTTTTCCCACTGAGGGAGAATTACTCTTTTTCCGGCCCTGCTATTTAAAAGGGAATGAGTCGTTATGATTTCATTGTGACAGTTTCGGGTGAAACGAAAAACTCCAGCGCTATACCGTTTCCAGTTCGTTTCGAAGGCTCAAGCGCCCTTCCAGAACATAATTTATGGCAGTTCGGTGACCAGGGGGGGGGGGCATTTTGCTTTTTGCTACTTCCCATCGATGTGTTGACCCATCTAGAGAGCCATGTCCATGAATGACTCTACAACATCTGAGTATCAGTGCTCTTCCCACCTCCGGATGAGACCTGCCTTGTGCCGGCGTTCTCGCTACCAGTTCATCCTCAGTGATTACACTGTGTTTGGCGAGAAATCAGGCATCAACTACCTATACACATAAACTGTTAGACAGTGAATAATTTGCCGACGTGATGACCACCGTGTCCCAGCACACCGTTGGACTTCACTTGACGAGTTTCCCGGACGTCACCGCATCGCAAAGGCGTCACCCTGCGGCCTCTGGCTCATTAATCATTTTATTGTGTCATTTAATGC